CCGGTGCTGCTCGACACCCCCTCCCTCCGCCTCCATTCACGCCCTTGCCGTTCGAGCCCCCCTGCTCTCTCCGTCGTCGACCGCCAGAGGGACCCCGGCCGCCGCTGCTGCCCTCCCTCCCCCCCTCTCTTCAGCTCGCCTGTCTCTCGCCCCTGTCGCCAGTCAGTCCTACCTACGTTTGCGGCATCCTGCACTCGCGTCCCGCCTCGCCGTTGTCCCCTTCTTGCAAAGTGGCCGCAGTCGCGCCCACGGCCGTAAGCACATCCCTCTGACAGTCGCGCTCTCGCTCCCTCAACAACAAGACAGCTTTGCTTTTGTGCACCCCACTCGCACCTTGACTTGGTGCGTCTTTCTGTTCCCCCCCCCCCCCCCCCCCCCCCCCCCCCCCCCCCCCCCCCCCCCCCCCCCCCTCCCCCTCTTCTCTAACCCCCCTCTTCCACCTACTCCCTTCTCCACACCAACCCCTAGCTGCCTCTATGGCCAAGTCAAAGAACAACCAGAAATCAGCTCCGCTGACTTACGGACATGCTACGTCGTCGGCCCGATCTTCGCCCAACTTCATCCAGCTGAACAGCCCTGCGCATGCCCCGCAGGACATGGCGCATACCCCCCCGCCCAATCCTGCCGGTGCCCCTCCCGCTGCTCCGTTTGAGGTATCACATTTGTCTGCTTCTTCATCTTTCCCTCCTCGCTCCTCGCTCCTCCCCCCTTCCCCCCCCCTTAGCACACGTGTCCGCTCATGTGCGTGTATGTGTGTGTGTGTATTTTCAAAGTGACACTAACGCCCTGTCGCTCCTCTCTTCCAGGCGCCTGCTCATCCAGCATCTGCATCCGGACCGCCCCTTCCCCGAGACCTGAACCTTGACCCGGCCGAGGTCATCATGTCCGACTTCATCGAGAAGGCATATCGCATGCGCCCGGAGGAGTTCCAGAGTGGTACGCATGTGCCCACATGTCCCAGCGTAGAATATCCCCCCCCCCTCCCCCAAGGGCATCCACTACTTGGTCTTTTCCTCAAACCATCTGCTCACCCCACCCACGCATCCACACGGACATGGACACACGCACACACACACACACACACACACACACAGAGGAGTCCAATTCTGAGCTTGCGAATAGTGAAGCTCTGCGCAGCCACCAATCCGAGCTCCCGCCGGTGACCTTTGGTAGTGAAGTGGAGCTGCTTCGTGCGTTCTGACACTCCGCCCCCCCCCCCCCCCCCTGCAACACGCGGGCTCTTTCTGGTCCTGCTCTGCTAACACTCTCTGTTTGCAATCCCCACCAGGCGAGGCCTATTCCCAGCTGGCCCGGCACATCGATCTCACGCTCAACAATTGCGCCGCGCAATCGATGGATACCAGCATCTTCTCCCGGTCCTTCGGTGCGTGACTCCACCCGTTCCCCATGCACGGCGGTGTCCCTTCGTGGCTTCCCCCTTTCCCATCTGTGCCTCTGACCATTGTCTTCTCCCCTACGGCCCTCTCCTCCTCCCCCATGCACACATACACGCATGCACGCACACCACACACACCACGCGCGCTCGCCTCTCCTGCCGGCCCATCTTTCCCTACCCCGCGACAACAGACGAAATGCTGAGCACACTCAATGAGAACCCCCCGAATGTCTGGTGTCACACGTGCCAAAAGCACCACGGCTCCACAAGTGACAGTGATGACGAGCACCGGTCGAAGCCGAAAGACGTGCGCCTTCCTTGGTGGCACCTCTCCTGCCCTTCCCCCCCCCCCCCCTCCCCCCCATCCTTCTCCATCGCCGTCGCTTACCCTCCCCCCTCGCCCATTCGCCGCTGCCCCTCCCATAGCAACGCCGCTTCCTGTTCGACGAGCTCAAGCGCCAGAACGAAGACAAGGAGCGCTACTATCAGCACATTGTCCTGAAGGAGGATATGCATCGGAAAAAGCTCCGGGCCGAGGCCGATCGCCTGGCCAAGGAGAAGGCCGATGCCGAGGCCCTCCGGCGTCGGGAGCGACAGGAGCAAGAGCGTCAAGCTCGGCAGGCGGCCCAGAAGGAGCGCATCGACCAACAACGCATTCGCAGTGAGGTGTTCTCCCTGATCCCGACGCCGGGCCAGATCGGCCGGATTCTGGAGCTGATCGATGCCCACTCGCTGACATTGACGGGCTTCGAGCTGATGGAAGGCGGCGTCCGCATGCCGGCCGGGACACTGGCCGGTCCCGGGAAGCATGGGCACCGTGAAACCATGCTGCACCTGGCCGCCCGGCACGCGAACTTGGAAATGATCGATTTCCTTCTCCGAGCTGCCGGACCCGAGGGGGATGCCGCCGACGGGGGGTCCAGCCAGGCGAGCACCGGCACCGGCAGCGCCACCGGGTCCAGCGGCACTGGCGATTCATCCGGCCCCTTCTCACACATTCCGATCACGGGCCGGCCGAATGTCAGTGACGTGGACATCAATGGCCACCAGCCGCTGCATACGGCCGCTGCGGCCGGTGCCATGCGGGCGGTTGTGCACCTGGTGGACAACTTCGGGGCCTTGATCGACGCGCGGACTGTGGACACCTCGGCCACCGCACTGCACCTGGCCGTCGGGGCCGGCCATGCGGATGTGGTGGAGGCGCTGTTGCAGCGTGGTGCCCGGCATCTGCTGAAGGATGGCCTCCGGCGGGAGCCGCTCACCATCGCGCGCCAACACCTGGCCGCCCTGGACACCGGCAGCTCCTCCAAGATTGATCCGCCGGTGGCCGATCGGGCCAGTCTCGAGCGTATCATCTTCTTGCTGGAGAACACCAACACCTCCGGGTCGGGTGGCACGCCGCAAAATGAGGGCAGCCCCTCCCTGCGTGGAGGGACCCCGGCTCTCAATGTGGCAGCCCCTTCGGCCAGTGGGCAATCCGACGCCACCGCCGATGAAGCCCTGTCGGAAGGGGGGGCTCTCGAGTCCAAGGCCGATGCGGCGAGTGGCGCCCGGCGGCCGTCTCCATCGGACGGGGCTCCGGCTGCGGCCACTGACAAGCCCTCCCCGGAGGCTGGCATCTCCAGTGTGGTGCCGGTGTCAAAGACTTCGCCATCCTTCGGGCCAGCTGGACCTGGATTCCCGGAGAGCGCCGGATTCGGTCGCATTGGCGGTGGATCTCCCTTCGGGGCCATTGGTCGGCAGCGTGATGCCGGGGTGGCCACCACCCTGGCCGGCTCCCAGGGCGGGACCCCGTCGACACACGACGATGCCGGGCCCACTCACTTGGCCTTGCCGGCGATGCTGGCCGGGACTGCCGGTGGTCCCTCCGATCCGGTGGCCATGGCAAGCCCGCCGCAGGTGGTCCCGGTGCCCATCATGTTCCATCAGACCCCCTCTGGGCGTACGTCACCTTCCCGGCCTCGGCTATGGCCTTTCCTCCTTCTCCCTTTCCCCCCAAGCCCAAGTGGGCCCTTGTGCGAGGCCCTGACCGGGACCATCTGGAGCTAACTCCCCTGACCGTCTGTCCTCCCGTCCGTGCATGACCTTGACCGCCGATCCCGGCCGCAGTGTTTAAGAACTCCGGCTACCTTCTGGTCAGCAATCGGAAGGACTCCCTCCCCCCGATGTTGCAGACGTCCTACTTCAATCCGTTGAAGCGGCGTAACTTGGACCCCAGCGTCCCATGCATCTTGGTGAGCTCGCTGCCGGAGGGTGCCTTCATGGCCTCCCTGTGCAAGTGGAACTTCCAGGCTGGGTCCATGCTCCATCGGGAGTTGGTGGCGGCGTGCTCGGGGGTCGATTGGGCCGCGCGGGCTGATGCCGCCACTGGCGGCGGGACCCAATCGGCGGCCAGCGGTGCGGCCACCACCCCGCCACCAACGACGACCGTGACGCCGGCCGGTCGAGGGCAGCCCATCACCGGTGGACCTTCGGCCATGGCAGGCGCCACCGCCGGTATCACGCCCGCTGGCATCTCCTCTTCAGACTTCTCCCTCGGGTCGACCCCGGGGAAGCGCGACCGGCAGCAGCGGCTCCTTTCGGTGCTCATTTTCAGACCCCTCGACTCGCCTTACATTCAGGCGATCGCCACGACTGATTGGCATCCGCTCAATGATGAGCTCCTCTCCTCGGATGCCAATGGCGTCCCTGGCGGCGCCGGAGCGGCCAGCAGCATGCCCAGTGCCACCTCGACATCTATATATTCGTCGAGGCGCCCGCGGCGACAGACCTCGACGCCGACTCCGGCGCCGGCACCGGCACCGGCGCCAGCTGTCCGGCCGCGCACCTACCGGCTGCTTTGGAATGTCGTTGTCGATCTGCCAGTGGGGCCACTGATCTCCATTCGGTACGTCCTTCCGCGTCACATGGCCCTGCCGCCTTGTCCCTTCCTCCCCTCGGCTTTCCTTCCTTCCAGCCGGCCCGCAAGAGGGAGGAAGATTCGTTGCCTCGCAAGGGCATGTATGCTGACATGTCCGTCTCCCTTCTCTCGCTCCCTCGCTCTCCCTCTCCCTTCGTGCGCGCGCACACACACACACACACACACACACACACACACACACGCACACATGCTCAGGATTCCCACCAATGGCTCAGCACCCAGCGAAGTGGACCCTGGCACCGAGGGAGGCTCCCCGCCCCCGGAGGACCGGGACTTCAAGTTGCTGCCCGATTGCCTGACCAGCACCCTGATCCCGGCGTCGGTGGTTGACTTGGTGTCGAATCTGATGATCTCGCGGCTGCTGCTGCCCTCGCCGGCCGGGATTTCCAGTCGGGAGTCTGACCCCCTGTCGCGGCTGTCCGGCAGCGGGCCGGCCTCCTTCAGCACTCCGATCGACCGACTCAGCTGCTACTACCTCTCAGCGGCATCGCTACATCAAAGCAGCATGGGGCGGTGAGCGGTGTGTGTGTGAGTGTGAGTGTGTGTCTGCATGTCTGCATGTGTGCATGTATGTGTGTGAGTGTGTGTGTGTGTGTGTGTGTCTGTGGAAACCAAGGGATGTCGGGGAGGTGGGGCTGGGCTCGCGCATGGCGCAGTGTTGTTTTGTGCGCCTCAATGCTGTATGAGCCTCTCCTCTCTTTCTCCTGCCTCCCGGCGTCTCCCCCGTGTCCTTGTATACTGCCTCCTCTTTAGTCACTCTCACCCTCTCTCTCACACATACACACACACACATGCATTCATACATACATATACCCACCAACACACGAGACGTGTGTATAAAACAGTACATGCACATTTGGATCTCAAATATACCACCACCACAGCCCACATGACGGGTCTCGAGATGGAGCAGCCTGGGGGATGTGGCCAATGAAGATCTGGAAAGGGGGATGTATTGCTGGGTGCTGTTGTTGTTGTTGTTGTTGTTGCTGTTTGCCACGCACGCACGCACGCACGCATGTACGCGCGCAGGTTTGCTGGTCATGGGGAGATATGATACAAGGTGCACAACTGGCCCCGGCCCCGAGAGCAGGGAAAAGACAAGCGACGGAAGAGGCGGAGGGGGGGGGGGGGGGGGCGTTGGACTGGGAAAGGGACATGTACACCACACAGGCGCGGGCGGCGCGCGGCGGGCGGCGAGCGGTGGGCGCGGACGCACGCATGGGCGCACGCATGGGCGCACTCATGTGTGCGGGACTGACCCCCGGCTGGCAGAACGAGGGGGAGGCGAGGAGGAGGATGGCCAGAAGAAAAAAAGGGAGAAACCGGCACACGTGCATGTGCGCGAGGCATGCTCAGATGTTGACAAGGTAGTCCTTGATCTCGGCCGGGGTCAGACGCCGGAAGATCGGCCGGGTCTGGTACAGCGGGTCGTCGGGGTTGCCGCCGGTGACAACCACGCCGCCGGCGGACGAGGCGGCCTCCGGCGGAGCCGGCGCCACAACGGCAACCTCAATGTTGTTCTCGGTGAGCTCCCCCTCGAAGCCCTCCTTCAGGGCCAGAATGGCCGTGTAGATGGCATCAGTCAGATCGATGTTTTCGGTGTAACTGCACAGGAGGGCGGGCAGAGGAGACGTGGGACAGGGGAGGATGGAGGGAAGGAAGGGAGGGAGGGGGGGGGGGGGGGGAAGGGTGAGTCGACGACAGCGGAGTGGATTCAGGCTGGGCGGGGCACGGCACTCCCGAGGGCCCCCGCCGAAAGCGCGAAGACAAGAGCGCCACAATAGTAGGCGGACTCCGGCGAGGAAGATCACCGGTGCGTACCGCTTCTCGAGGAAGGTCTTGCCGCTGAGCATGTTCTTGCCGATGGCAGCCGCCTTCCAGGCGAAGTAAGACCCGGACGGGTCAACCTGGTACAGGGCCGGGCCATTGTGGTCATGGCCGGCAACCAGCAGAGACACACCGAACGGGCGGACACCACTGTGTGTGTGTGTGCGCGCGCACACACGCGAATGCACAGGAAGAGAGTGGGAGGCGGAGGGAGAAGGGCGGTAGGCAGCAGGTCCAGGGCGGAGGACGGAGGGCAGGGTGTGGAGGGCGAGAGGCCAAGGGCGAAGGAGGAGCAAATGTCAGTAGCATGTGAGAGCGGGGGAGGCGTGCCACAAGTGCATGCCAATGGGTGAATGACAGGGGGAGACAGAGAGAGAGAGAGAGAGAGAGAGAGAGAGAGAGAGAGCGCGGTCGGGACCACAGAGCGCACGCACCCGGACTGGGTGTACTCCTGCATGACCGAGGCGATGTCGCGCACGAGCTGCAGCACGGGCGGCTCCTCATTGAAGACCCGGCGGTAGGACTGGGCCGCCTTGCGGGCGCGGTCAATGAGCACCTTGGCGTCCGGGGTCATGCCGCTGTACACCAGACCGATGGTGTCACAGATGGGGACCGCCTTGACCACGGTGTCCTCGCTGATGAGGATGGAGCTGAGCTTCTTCTCGGTGGCGATGACAACGCCGTTCGACGCTGTGAATGGGAAGGGGCGATGCGAAAGGGGTGAGTTGATGGAAAGAGGGCGACAGGGGGGGGGAAAAAAAGGGGGGGGGGGCAGGGAGAATGGAGGACCAACATGACACCCCGGTGACACACCCTTTATTCCGATGGAGGTGAAGCCCGACGCAACGGCGTTCAGGGCATACTCGATCTGGACGAGCTTGCCCGAAGGGCTGAAGGTAGTCAGGGAGAAGCTGTACCGATCCGCCATGGCTGGGACGCGCGGGGGTGAGGGCGAATGGGGGGGGGGGAGGGGGAAGGGGGGCGAGAGGGAAGAGGGAGGGGGAAAGGGGGCGGGGGGGGGGCTGCACAGAGGCGATGGATGGGGAGGGAAGGAGAAGAGGCAGACTACCAGCCAGGCTGAGGACCTGGGGAGGGGGGCTCCCATTCTCTTCAATGCCCTTTGCCCCCAGGCGGGCAAGGCTAAACATGGGCCAATCTCGCGGGAGAGCGGAAAGGGCGGCCGGCCGCCGGAGGCTGACGTATGGGGACGGAGCCGCCCAGACGTCGACGAGACCCAAGGGACGCAGACAGATAGACGGGAGGGGGGGGGGGGGGGTCTTTCTGCCCACCTGTCTAGTCGAGCTGGCCGGTGCCAGCCCTGCCCGGTGGCCGGCCGCCCGTTGCGAGACCGCCTCCGGGGGGGGGGGGCGCTCGCGACGGCAACGCGCATGGACACCTCTTTTGTCGGTGGCCGAAGGCCCTGCACGCAGGAACACGCCCGGGTGTCTGGTGGGGAAAGAGGATTCTCGAAGCAGTGTCGGCTTCGTTCCCTCGCCGGCCGGCCGGCCGGGAGGGATGCGCAACGGCCCGACGCCGCGGCCTCCAGTCGGGGCGCAGGCCGGGCGGACTTGACGCCCGAGGGGGCTCCCTCCCGTGTGTAAGCCGCAGCCCAAAACTAGGCGCTCTCCATGATGGGGCTCACATGCGGGTCTCGCCGAGCATCTCTCTTTCTCCCTTGCCTCGCTTTGGGGGCCAGCAGGCTGGAGGGGCCCGCTCCAAACACAGCTGGCCGCGGACTACACACACACACTCCCCAGGCTGGGAAGAGCCGCGGCGGGGAAGATGCGGCCACCCCCCCCGAGGATTCTCCACCGTCGGGGGGGGGAACACCGTGCGGAGAGCCTGCCCGGGGGAGACGCTGTTGATGAGCGGGCGGAAAACCATCCAAGGACGGGAGGTGTCTGACATGAGAGGGGGTACATGTGATTGGGCCCGTGGTGTGTGGTGTGATTGGCGCTGAGACGTGACCCTGACTCGGCCTCGGCAAATTGATCCGGTCGCGTGGCCAGGTGCTTGAATGGCAGTATCATGTTGTGGAGATCGGACTCGACCCTTCCCGGGGCCTTTTTGCCCCCCCCCCCCCCCGGGCCGGCCCCACTCGTTCCCCCTCGCGGTCCAGGGGCACCGGCCCTCCCCGCCCGCGCGTGTGACCCTGGGCCGGGGGTCTTCTCGCCATTCGCATGTCAGCACGTTGGGCCGCCCGGCGCGCCACACACACACACAGAAGCCGAGCCCCGAGCGAGCAGCGCACCGCGTGAGGGAGGCAGTGCGGGGTGGGATTCTTGCGATTTCGGGCGCCGGAATCCGCCCAGGGGTGTGGTAGCCTCGAGGAGTATTGGCGTGGATATTTTTTTCTCATTTGTCCCACATTACTGCCAATCGAACACTCCCCGAGCAAGACACCCCCGGCCCTGGCCCCGGAAGGCGGCGCCGCGCCGAGGGTACCCGGAGAGGGTCTGGTTCAACACCGGTCGCGGCCGGGCACCTCCCGTCGCACCCCGTGCTGGGGGCCGCGTTCGAGACTGGTCGATTGCGATGTGTGGGACGCTCGCCGGGATCGTTGCCGGCTTGCTTTCTGTTTGCGAGGAGGTGTTGGTGTACTCCTCGCGCGGCCGAGAGCCCCTACCCCGGCCCGGTCTGTGTGAAGTGCTTCCGCGGCCCGGCGACGCGGGGGCAAGGGCCAGGGGCACGGGCACCGCCGGCGGCCAAGGAAGATACGCGCCGGCGTTGGTTGCACAGTGGAGGCGTGAACGCGCCCTGCCGGCCTCTGTCCCGCCCCCCCCCCCCCCTCCCCCCCAGGGGCTGGGGTCTGTTTTCTCCCGCCACCCATGCAGCCTTTCCTTCGACTCATGTTCGCCCTCTTTGTCCGCGGCCGTCTCAGTTGGTTGGCCCGGGGGGTGGGCTTCCGGGCAACCAGGGCTCCCTGCGGGGGCCCCCTCTCCCGCACGCAGGGGACAGGCCTCGGCGCCCCCGCCGCCGGGAATGGGTCTCGTCCGGAAAATGGCCCCGCCTGACGGACGCCTTGCTGCGGCGGTTTCTCCCGCGGCCTCCGGCGCGGCCTGGGCATCCCCCAGCCGCGCAGC